CTAACTACTAACTACTAACTGCTAACTGCTGACTGCTAACTACTAACTACTACTACTACTGCTACTACTACTACTACTACTACTACTACTACCACTACTACTACTTCTACCAGGACGACGAATAGTGCGACTGCGACTGCGACTGCGACTTCGACTGCTACTGCTACAGCTACTGCTACTGCTTCTATTACTACACTACTTCTCATACTACTTCTACAACTTCTCCTGCTACCACTGCTTCTACTGCTACTGCTACTGCTACTCCTACCCCTACCCCTTATTCTGCTACCACTACTACTGAGACGGCTAATGCTACTGCTGCTGACTTGCACACTATCACCACCACTATGGCCCAGACCGCTAGCACCAGCCCTACTGCTACCACCATCACTACCACTACGATTAAGCTGACGACGGTGACGACTACTACCACCGGTGCTACTACCACAGACCACAACCGCCGCTACCACTACGATTACGGCGACTACTATGGCTCAGGACAGAAAGCATTGAGTACTCAGCCAAAACTGCAGAACGAAGACTGTCACGCCTAATTACACCCTGAAGCCCTGAACTGCTGGGCCAGGTAAAGCAGTTCCAGTCTCCGGTCCTCTCTCTGGATACGTTCGAGGACTATGCCGCACATCTGCAAGCAGCTGACATGTTTAGGGGCGCAAGAGAGACTTACATAAACTTGCTCGCGCTCTTGCATTCTCTTCCTCTCGGCTTCTCGCTGTTGTGATCTGATGCTTTTGTGCACTTGCTTTTATGAGGCTGTAGTTTGGGGTTGTGGTCAGGAAGCAGCAAGGGGAGGTTGGTTCAAACTGTTGTCCAGGAAACCACGGGTGCCGGATTGACCCGGGAGGCTGTTTCAGCTGACGGCATTTGAACTCACCCACGCCGCGAGCGATGAGTCAAGCCCCACTAGCTAAGGACCCTCAGCCTCGAACCATGCGATAAAGCCTAAGCCTTAAACCCCCAACCCTGCAAACCCCAAAATCCTAGACCCAAGCCCTAAACGTTAAACCCTTATACACCCTAAACCCTACACCCTACACCCTAAACCCAACCCGACACCCTACCAGCACCCCGCAAGTACCCTTTAATAGAGCCCGTATGGTCCTTAATAGTGGGTATTTGGGGTATAATAGAGGGTAGTTGGGGGTGCTGGTAAACCCACAGCCTACACCCTGAACCCCAGACCCTTATACCTTTACACCCTAAACCCTAAACCCTTACACACCCTAAACCCTAAACCCTAACACACCCTAAACCCGAAACCCTTATTCACCCTAAACCCTAAACCCTTATACACCCTAAACCCTATACCCTTATAAACCCTAAACTTATAAACCCTAAACCCTATGCCCTAAACCCAGAGCTTACACCCTGAACCCCAAGACCAGGTCTACGATGTGAGATGGCATCCCACGCATCCGGCGGTCTTCGCCTCCACGGATGGCGAAGGGCAGCCCGCCCAGAGCTCTTGGTTAAAGGGTACCTTACCGGGGCCCTTTTAAGGGGTTTCAAGGTTTTGGGGGTTTCTTTAAGGTTTGGGGTTTAGGGTTCCTTAAATTGAAGGGTTTGGGGTTTAGGTTTCCTTTAAGGGTTTAGGGTTTAGGTTTCCTTAGAGGGTCAGGTTTCTTTTCTTTTCTTAACGGGTACCTTAAGGGCCCAAAAATGGTCAGGGTTGTTCTTCCTTCGCGCATTGTGCCGCTCTCGACTCCCAACAGCCCCTGCACGCTCAACCCTAAACCCTTAAGTTGCAACTCGTCCCCGAAACTCCACTCCTCTCACAGCTTCTCGAAGCACAGCTGGCAGCCAGCATGTGGCGGCATTTTTTGGAAACGCGGTCCCCCATTTCAAGCCCCCTAACCCTTTATGAATCCTTCTGGATCTTTTCATACGGATCGTCGTAAACCTGTGCCCGAAGAAATCCGCTAATCCTACCCATAAAGCGCCCCAAACTTGAGGCCAAAACCCTTCAGGAACACCCCTCAACACGAAGAAACCTTGACCCCAACCCCACTCCAACCCGGCCGTCGAGGCACATCGACCTCTGGAATCTGAATAAGAACATCGAGCCACTGCCTCGGATAGGGGTCCGATTGAAAGATGGGCTTAGGGGTTTAGGGGTTTAGGGTTTGGGGTTTTGGGGTTTTGGGTTTAGGGTGAAAGATGGGGCATCACGAAGGTTCTATAGGGTGCTGCCCGCCATGTCACAAGAGCTTGAGGCTGCCGGTACTACGATGTGAGAACCCCAATGGACGGAGGTTCCGGAGCTTTCTGGGGGTTTAGGATTTAGGGGTTTAGGCTTTAGGGTGCAGGGTTGGCTACAGCTTCGTGCTGCCATCACCATCGCCAGCACCGTCACCAGGGCCTGTTGCCACCATCGTTAGCACAATCCCGAATCTCCTTCTCATTGACATCCAGATCACCATGGCCATAATCGCCACCATCACCGGCATGATGATCATCACCATCATCAACAACAACAACACCATCATTAGCAACATCACCATTAGCAACATCGTCATCAATCTCTATCGCCACCACCATGATAGACATCATCATAACACCATACAATGACAAGTCCCTTTCATCACTCATCATGATGTTCGTCATAGACATCGTCATCGCCTGGTCGTTACGATGGCCAACCCCTCCAACATGACCGTCGTGTTTTGTTGATCGTCCCTGTCATCGTCGTTGTTTTCCTGTCATCACGGCCGTCAGTCGCCACCGCCCTCATCACCACCAGCATCAGTGTCAACACCACGCCGACCTTCGTCGTCCTGCACTATTACCATCATAATCATCACCACCACCGTCACCATCAACACCAGATTTGCCGGGGCAACATTGACATGAACTTTACGGTCAACATGTTTCATGATCAGAGTTACCAGGATGGTCATCGTCATCTCACTCCTGTTCTTCATCCGTGCTGTCATCATCTTCGTCGCAGCCTGTGTCGTCTGTATCGTCACTGGCATCGCCCTCTCAAGTGAATTTACTGTCTGCATCACCGGGCCACCGTTGTGACCAGTATGACAACATGATGAATCATAATCTTCGTCGTTTTGACAATCGAAAAAATCAACAACAACGAAACCACAAGCATCAACACCAACATACTCAAAATCCTCCCCAACCCTAAACTTCAAGCCCTCAACCCTACACCCTGAACCCTAAACCCTAAACCCTGAGCCCTAAGCCCCCAACCCTAAACCCTGAACCCTAAGCCCTAAACCCTAAACCGAACCTCGGACTCTCATCGCAAGTCTGCCTGCCGTTGCGGCTAGCAGCCGAAGCAAGCTGAGTCCGTGGTCGGATGTTTAAACGGTAAACGAGACAGGGCTGAGCTTTCACTCTTCAGGATCTTAACCAATCCCGAGCAGCTCCAGACGAGGAGCCCGATCCAATCAAATCCGCCTCCTTACCAGACGCCCTCGACTGCTAAACCCAAGCCGCTAAGCCCTCAGCCGTAAGCCCCAAGCCCTATCTTAAATCCCTAAAGCAAAGATGCCAGGCTGGCGTTGAACAAGTGCCACTGGTCCAACGATGGGCGGAAGCTCGCAGCAGGGGACAGTGAGGCCCTCCGATTCTTGCGGGTCTTTTTAAAATGAAGGGTTTAGGGGTGTAGGGTTTAGAGTTTAGTGTTTAGGGTTTCGGGTTGGCCTAGCGATGGGTTTGAGACGTTTTCTGGTTGGGCAATATAGGGTGTTTGGGTTTCTGTTCCGCAGGGTCTTTTTATAGGGTTTATAATTTTGGCTTATCGGGTTTTTGCTTCCGTTTCGAGTTCTGTGCTTCGGGTTTGCAGTTGGCAGTGACGAGGTGTAGCGTTGAAGGTTTCAGGGTGGTTGGGTGGTGGATTCGGAGGAGGGAGGGGGGGCGGGGGGCGAGGGTAGGGTTTAGGGGGATGGGCCTCTGGTTTTGAGGTTGCGACATTGGCACTTGGGTGGAAGCTTGAAGAAAGGTTTCGGACTCCGACGATGCTGCGTACGGCAGGAAAGCATGCATGAAGCAGATCGAATCGAACCAGTGGTTCCAGGCAAGAAGCAAGTAGGGTTTAGGGGCTTAGGGCCCCTAAACCCTAAACCCCTTAGGGTTCAGAATAGCATAGTGCGCGAACTGCGCTCTAGAGGTCTTAAAGTTGAGACATTGCCACCCTGTCACTACCAGGCCCCAGAACCCTCAGGAAACCCTTCATAAGCCCTTGAAAAACACGCATAAGACCTTTATAAACTGCGACAGGATCCCTAAAACTATAAGCCCTAAACCTAGGCCATTGTCAGGTGGGCAGTTACCGTTATAGGAGCCTTATAGAAGGTCTATATACCTTCTAGAAGCCTCATAGAAGCCCTATATACCCAAAGCTCCCCACTTGTAGTTTCCTTTAACTAAACTAACAGCTGAACCCTAAACCCTAACCGCTGAACCCGAAACCGTGTGAGTGTCGAAGACGCAGGGTACGGTCAGTGTCTTCGCTGCGGATCGCACTGTCGCGCAACCGAGGAATCCGGAAGATTGGGATAAGGAGTTTCTGGGTTTGGGGGTTTAGGGTTTAGGGGTTTAGGGTTTGAGGAGTTTCGGGGTTTGGGGTTCCCTTTTTAAGCTGTTGGGGTCTTAGGATTTTGGATTTGGGGCTTTGGGGGTTTAGGGTTCGGGGTAATAGAGTTCAGGGTAAAGTAGTGGGGGATCCCACCTTTGGTATTGTCATGCTATCTAATCCCAATTCAAGTTTAAGCTTTAGTTCTCCTAGGATGCTGGGCAATTAAGGGGTTAAAGTTGTGATGCAGAAGCCTTCTTGGTTTTCTGAATTAGGATGGGGTCCCGGTCCGGGGTTAGTAAATGGCTCTTTATGAAAACCAACGTACCACCAAAACACGAGTTCTAAGTATGAAGGCCCCTATAGTCGGAGTTTCAGAAGATGAGGGGCTCCCTTTCAGGATCTTTAGGGCTTAGGGTTCAGGGTTTAGGGTTTAGGGTTGTAGAGCTCAGGGTTTAGGGGTTTGGGGTTTTAGGGCTCAGGGTTCAGGGTTTAGGGTTTTGGGGCTCAGGGTTTACGGTTTAGGCCCTTCTTTGCTGAGATCCTGTCGATGGCGCCCGGAGTAGCTAAATGGGTTGATTCTGAGGAGTCCAAACTAGTTCGATTGTGTTTTGGGTTTTTTTTTGTGGTTCAGGGTTTGTTTTTTTGGGGGTTTGGGGTTTAGGTTTTGGGGTTCAGGGGTTCCTACAGGCGGATTCCTGTCTTGAAAATGCGCAGCATCAATGCTCTTGTCGTGCAGCCATTCAGGCGGTCATGGCTCTTTGATCTCACTGGTATCCTTAGCTGCCGTAGCTAAATCTAGGACATTTTCCGGTGGGTAGTTACCGTTCTAGGAGCCTTGTAGAAGGTCTATATACCTTATGGAAGCCTTAAAGAAGCCCTATATACCCTAAACTCCAAACCTGTAGTTTCCTTTAACT